AACCAAAAACTAATATATAGCAATCTTCAAAAAAAAACTGCAAAATTTGAAAGCACCCAGACGAATGACTATATACGAAACAAATGGTGGAAAATAGGAAACAAATTCTGAAAATGAATCGGTTCAACATAACTAATGCGACAAAATTAAATTCTTCAACGAACGTATGCATCCGAAACGAAACAATCACTTCAGTCTTCTGATTACCTAGGAGCTATACAAAATATTCCTAACAGCCCACATTCACTAGGAGGGTGCTACAGACCCAACAAAACTAAATTCTTCAAAGAACGTATGCATACGAAACGAAATAATCACTTCAACCCAGGGGTGGACTGACCATCTGGAAACTCGGGCACTGCATCTCAGTAGGGGGCCCCATGAGATGCCCCTGGTACCTTTTTAATAGGCTTTTTTGAGTTTGGACACAGGGGCCCCATGATCTCCTATTGCCCGGGGGCCAATGAGTTGTCAGTCCACCCCTGCTTCAGCCCTCTGATTACTTCGGAGCTGTACTAAATTTTCCTAACAGCCCATATTCACTAGGAGGGTGATACAGTCCCAACACTACAGAAATTTTAAAAATTGGTTGTACTGGCCAACTACAGCCCATAGCTGAATCCATGACATTGTTCGCTAATCTCAATGTATAGCCAGGCACTAGGAAGAATATAAAATAAAATACCAAAAAAAAATCTATGAAGCTGTAGTATATAGTGAGAGCAGAACTTGGCTAGAAGACAGCCTCGGATCAAATCCCAGTGTCAGTCTCTGTGACTTAAGGCTATTCTCTTTATGTGGACAGACCTCAGGCACCAAGATTAGATTGGAAGCTCCACCAAGTCGAAAACTAATACCTGAAAATAATCCACAGGCTCGACTCGGTTGGCATACCCTGAGCAGCCAGAGCAGAATAATCACCGTTTTAATTACCCGCGGCTGAGCTGCGATGGCTTTTGTGCCGCAGGAGTTAAAACAACAGCTTGTACATTAGCTTCGTCCGCTTCTTGAAATAAGCATGGCTTATGAGAAATCTTATACAACAACACTAATTCCACAAGTGTACTGCTTCACGCACTGCTGTCATTCTTACAGATGACTTACAAGACTACGAGAACTTGCTTGCTCTAGGCTCCTTGCCACCACTAAGCTTAAATTAGCATCTATGTGGGCCCCATCCAAGGCTTCTCTGAGACCAGCTGTGCAAAGACCTGTCACCGTCTTGTCAGTGAAAGTTTCCTGTCCAAAGAACTTTTGTCATTCCTCGTTCCTCAAGTAAAGGCATGTCACTTGAAGAGGCAGCTAAAGTCACTTGCAATGACTGGTCTCAAATCATAGCTCTCTAGCCCTGTCACTGAAAGTCTCACCCCGCAGCTAAAACTGTCACTGATCATGTTTAGATATGTACACTGAGGTATCAGATTAGAAGGGAGTGTGCACGAGATGGGACTTTAAAAGGGGCCAAGTCGCAGGAGAAAATATTAACCCTTGCGCAGCTTCAGGGGGAAAAAAAATCAGAAAGGAACAGGTTAAATGAATCAGCTGGCATTATTTTGCTCATCAAACATTCCTATATATATATATATATATATATGTGTGTTTATGCATTTATTTCTATGAAACGGGTGAACAATATATTCAAGGATGCAACAAGCTCCCTTGCGCTGCAAATTATTGCTGATTGTTATAGATGAAGATGTGAAAATGGACAATATGGCCAAGCTGGCCGTGCATGTTACAATCTAATTGCACAACTTCTGTACAATTTCTCCTATAGTGGTAACACACACATAATATAAACTCACCGGCACTTTATTAGGTACAACTTGTCAGTGCCAAGAAAATATCCCCCACACCATTACACCTCCACCACCAACCTGATGCAAGGCAGGATGGAGAAATGATTTCATTAGGTGTGAACCATCTCACCCCAGGTTCACACCTGTTTTCTGCAGTGTTTTGCGTTTTGCAGAAACACAGTACAGTCCATTTAACATGATTTCCCTATGGGACATGTTCACATCTCTGCGTTTTCACCCGGTGCGTTGCTATAGATGAAGATGTGAAAATGGACAATATGGCCAAGCTGGCCGTACATGTTACAATCTAATTATACAACTTCTCTACAATCTCTCCTATAGTGGTCACACACACATAATATAAAACTCACCGGCTACTTTATTAGGTACAACTTGTCAGTACCAAGAAAAAATCCCCCCCACCATTACACCTCCACCACCAACCTGATACAAGGCAGGATGGAGCCATGTCTTCATTAGGTGTGAACCATCTCACCCCCAGGTTCACACCTGTTTTCTGCAGTGTTTTGCGTTTTGCAGAAACGCAGTACAGTCCATTTAACATGATTTCCTACGGGACCTGTTCACATCTCTGCGTTTTCACCCGGTGCGTTGCTATAGATGAAGATGTGAAAATAGACAATATGGCCAAGCTGGCCATGCATGTTACAATCTAATAGCACAACTTCTATACAATCTCTCCTATACTGGTCACACACACATAATATAAACTCACCGGCCACTTTATTAGGTACAACTTGTCAGTGCCAAGAAAATATCCACCACACCCATTACACCTCCACCACCAGCCTGATACAAGGCAGGATGGATCCATGCTTTCATGTTGTTTACGCCAACGTCTGACCCTACCATCTGACCCTAGGTTCACAAGTGTTTTCTGCAGAAATGCAGTACAGTTCATTTAACATGATTTCCTAAGGGACAAGTTCACATCTCTGCGTTTTCACACGGAGCATTTTTTGGAAAGGGTCAGGGACTTTTTTGAACGCAAAAGTTGCATTTTTAGTTCTATAGACTTCAATGGAAACACTGCAGAAAAGCATGTATTGCATTTTTGCTGTGTTATTGCTATGTTTTTGCTGCGTTTTCGATGAGTGTTGCATTTTAAATCTGCCTAGCAACAAGAACATTTAAAAAAATTAGAAAAAAGTAAAGCGCAAAATGCATCAAAAAAACGTGGCAAAAACTCAGGTGAAAAAAGGGAAAACGCAATGCAAAAATGGCTCAAACACAACCTGCATAGGTGTGAACCTAGCCTGAATGTCACGGCAACCAGTCTGCCCATTCTCCTCTGACATCAACAAGGCATTTTCATCCACACAACTGCTGCTCACTGGATATTTTCTTTTTTTCAGACCATTCTCTGTAAATCTTACAGATGGTTGTGTGTGAAAGTCCCAGTAGATCAAAAGCTTTCAAAAGTCTCAGAACAGCCCGCCTGGCACCAACAACCATGCCACATTCAAAGTCACTTAAATCCCCTTTCTTCCCCATTCTGATGCTTGTTTTCACCACATCTAGATGCCTAAATGCATTGAGTTGCTGCCAAGTGATTGACTGATTAGCAATTTGTGTTACCAAGCAATTGAACAGGTGTACCTAATAAAGTGGCTGGTGAGTGTATGATTAATTAATTCATCATTCAATGCAACTAAGCTCATCAAATGGAATAAAAACACAAAGAAAAGATGGGCTATCGATAGACTTCCTTCACATCTGCGGTAAGCTTATTGCCCTATGAAAAGCAATCCACAGAAGGAGGTATAGCAGCGGCTGAAAGGTGTTCGGAAGGCACTACTGCTGCCTCCTGAATGCCATTTTTTTTTCAAATTGTAGGACAGCACTGCCAAGCATGTGGCATGTGGTTGCAGTGCAGCCCCACTGACAGTTGTCATAGTCCAAGTTAAAAATGCCAGCCACAGTTCAGCTGCCTGTTTTTACTACCCCTCAGCCTCCTGTGTGAAGCAGGCCTTGGTGGGAGCTCTGCCGTTGCAGAATTCTGTCAGTCACTGCTGATCGATGAAACAGATATCTGCTTATATGTCAAAAAGCCAATCACAATACAGATCAATTAAATGATTATTTAATAGATCATTTATAAGGACTTGTATTTTGGATTGATATTATCAGCCATCGAGGGACAAATCTGTAGGGTGATATATAATTGTGAGAATGTTTTCCCAATTTTGTTTTTTTTTCTTTCCCTTCTGTCCCCCTCTAGACATTTGGGGCTATATTCAGAAAAAGAATGATAGGATGAAGATGAGGAGGAGTCGGAAGACTCACTATAGCTCAAGAATCATCAGACTGTCTGTAATTCCTCTTGTTTCGTGATCAGCATAGAACAGAAGTAGTTCTGTACACCAAGCAGACCCTATGTTAGATCCACTGGCTTATTCTAGTAGTGGTATTGAGGTTTATGTAAACCGCAACAATAAATTTCTCCTATTTGCCCTCTTTTTGGTAATCTATTTGATAAATGCAAAAAAAAAGTTAAACTGTTGATCCTGCTAGAAATCTAGTGAGCCAATAGCTTCATGTGGACTCAACCAGTGTTACCAGCAATTTCTTGGTTGCCTTTGTAAACTAAGGAACACCTCCTTGTTATGGATCAGGGGCAGACTGACCATTTGGAAACTTGGGCACTGCCCGAGGGCCCGTGGTCAGTAGGGAGCCCCATGAGATGCCCCTTGTACCTTTTTCATAGGCTTTTTTGAGTTTGGGCAAGGGCACAGGGGCCCCATGATCCCCTATTGCCCGGGGGCCCCATGAGTTGTCGGTCCGCCCCTGATAGTAATAATATGTTTCTAGAGGGACAACACAGTTCCTTCATCTATACAGCAAAGTAAGTGATTGTTGTCACCCTAGTACAGGAAATGTGTTACTGGCAGGATCATCAGTTGAACATAAAGAGTAAGAGAAGCTTGAAAAAAAGAAAACTAATGCAGCCGCCTCATCTAAGAATTGGTAAGCTGCAATGCATTACATTTTTGTTGCTGGGTTTAGATACATGACTACTAGAGGAGGGACTGGTATTTTTTTGAACAAGTATAAGTTTGCTTCATGTCTAAATGCAGCCCTAGCTATGTAATACAGGGGGGCAGCCTCAGGACCCAGGACCCTGCATTCACTACATCTGGTCTCCCACAGTACACAGAACATAGAAATACGATTACACGATTATTTTAGTAAATATAAACTGCTAAATAACTTTTCTCATCAGCAGTTAGAGCAGTTTTGTGATTTCTATCAGTGTCCAGCAGAGCACTGGTTAAAGCTTGTAGGAGGAGTTTTCATTCTCCCCTGATTGTCCTATGAGGTTGCATAACCCCTGACCCTCTGGAAAGTGCTGATTGGCCCTGTGCTGATCACCTGCACCCTCTCAAAGAAAAGAAAAAACTGTCTAGCCATACACCCTAAACGGAGAATGTGCAGAGTGACTCTTAGGGCCCGGTAGTATATCAGGAGATGGATTGGAGACACCTCGGATACTGTCTGGACAGTTCTGATTGACCCTGTGTTGATCACATGCCCCCTCCCAAACGAAAAAAACTCTCTAGAAACACACACTAAACTGAGCATATGCAGAGTGACTCCTGGAGCTCTGTACTATCAGCAGATGGATTGGGGACAGCAGAAGAAGGGGAGGATCAGAGAAGACAGGATCAAACAGCCTTTTTCCACAATGCGGAGGATTAACCCCTTAGGTTCCACAGTGAGTATAACAAACATGCTTTACTGCATTTACAGACTGATTGTACTGTTATGAGTTTAGCAACACTTTAAACTCTTACACTACCTACAGGGGATTGGACAATTCAATTGTAAGGTGTGTGGCCTTAAATCTGTATGTTTTCGATCTGCCCAAACAATCCCAGACTTGAAGGCCCCTACAACCCCTGGTTGTGTTATAGTTCATCCTGGCCCTTGTTACTGTCATTTTTGCTGGGCAGTCGCGTCTATATAAATAAAGGCTTGTGAAACAGAAAGAAAATGTCGTTCTAAGACAGAACATGGTGATTATATTAGTATTAGCTGCATACAGTTATCAGAATACAATATTTTTTATGATCATTGTCCTTTCATCTGATTAAGTTAAGCTCTCTAGTTCAGATGACCCCCAATTGGTTGCTATGGGTCATTGCACAAGATTACACATTACACTTTGAGTCATTAATTAAAGGCCATTGACACAGGTGTAATATTTTATTACTATATGTACTGCTCACGTTAGAGTCCCAATGCACAGTTAATGAAGCAAGCTAATGAAGCTCGGGGCTCAGCTGCTGTGGTGGCCAGCCTGTAAAATTAACTATTTTTGTCCATGTTAATTCATGTTTCCCCTCCAGCTGTACAAATCTGAAGTGTATAGTAAAGATAGCTAGTGACAATATACTGTAATTGGAGCACCCAGGCTAATTTGTAAAAAGCCATAGCAGAAGAAAACAGCGGCCAAGCCAAAGCTAATCTGCCTCAACCCACTCCTTCTTCCCTCTACGTGTTTGTTGTGTGGAGTTTTACCCTCCTGGAATTTACTATTGCAAATAAATTGTATTGGTTTATTTATTTATTTTTTTTTATATATTTTTTATTAGTTGAACACGATGGACTTATGTAATTTCTCAGCCTATGTAACTATGTAAAAATGTACCTAATTGTTTGTAATAATACAAAACCATTAATAATGTACAATAATACAAACTCCATCGTGTTCAACCAATAAAAAATATATCATTATTACAAACAATTAAGTACATTTTTACATAGTTACATAGGCTGAGAAATGACACAAGCCCATCGTGTTCAACCAATATCAATACCAATACCTGTTATACTTTGTCTTATGCTTTTACATGCCTCGTCATCATTTTATTGGCATTGCCAATGAATGTGTCTACGTTTGCACCAAATATAACTGGCTCTTATTATTTATAAGTAAGTATTGTTTTTGTCTCTTTCTCTGGATCAACTGTATGTTTAGTGTTCTATATACAGAGGCTTTTGGTTTATTTATTTATTTATTTTTTTATTGGTTGAACACGATGGACTTGTGTCATTTCTCAGCCTATGTAACTATGTAAAAATTTACCTAATTGTAATAATACAAAACCATCAATAATGTACAATAATACAAACTCCATCGTGTTCAACCAATGAAAAATATATCATTATTACAAACAATTAGGTAAATTTTTACATAGTTACATAGGCTGAGAAATGACACAAGTCCATCGTGTTCAACCAATACCAATACCAATACCTTATACTTTGTATTATGCTTTTACATGCCTCGTCATCATTTTATTGGCATTGCCAATGAATGTGTCTAAGTTCGCACCAAATATAACTGGCTCTTATTATTTATAAGTAAGTACTTTTTTTTTGTCTCTTTCTACGGATCAACTGTATGTTTAGTGTTCTATATACAGAGGCTTTTGGTTTATTTATTTATTTATTTATATATTTATTTATTTATTTTTTTTTTATTGGTTGAACACGATGGACTTGTGTCATTAAAGATTTACCTAATTGTTTGTAATAATGATATATTTTTCATTGGTTGAACACGATGGAGTTTGTATTATTGTACATTATTGATGGCTTTGTATTATTACAAACAACTAGGTCAATTTTTACATAGTTACATAGGCTGAGAAATGACACAAGTCCATCGTGTTCAACCAATAAAAAAATAAATAAACCAAAAGCCTCTATATATAGAACACTAAACATACAGTTGATCCAGAGAAAGAGACAAAAAAAAATACTTACTTATAAATAATAAGTGCCAGTTATATTTGGTGCGAACTTAGACACATTCATTGGCAATGCCAATAAAATGATGACGAGGCATGTAAAAGCATAAGACAAAGTATAACAGGTATTGGTATTGGTATTGGTATTGGTTGAACACGATGGACTTGTGTCATTTCTCAGCCTATGTAACTATGTAAAAATTTACCTAATTGTTTGTAATAATGATATATTTTTCATTGGTTGAACACGATGGAGTTTGTATTATTGTACATTATTGATGGCTTTGTATTATTACAAACAATTAGGTAAATGTTTACATAGTTACATAGGCTGAGAAATGACACAAGTCCATCATGTTCAACCAATAAAAAAAATAACAAAAATAAATAAATAAACCAAAAGCCTCTATATATAGAACACTAAACATACAGTTGATCCAGAGAAAGAGAGACAAAAAAAAATACTTACTTATAAATAATAAGAGCCAGTTATATTTGGTGCGAACTTAGACACATTCATTGGCAATGCCAATAAAATGACGACGAGGCATGTAAAAGCATAAGACAAAGTATAACAGGTATTGGTATTGGCTGAACACGATGGACTTGTGTCATTTCGCAGCCTATGTAACTATGTAAACATTTACCTAATTGTTTGTAATAATACAAAGCCTTCAATAATGTACAATAATACAAACTCCATCGTGTTCAACCATTAAAAAATATATCATTATTACAAACAATTTGGTAAATTTTTACATAGGCTGAGAAATGACAAAAATCCATCGTGTTCAACCGATAAAAAAATAAATAAATAAACCAAAAACCTCTATATATAGAACACTAAACATACAGTTGATCCAGAGAAAGAGACAAAAAAAATACTTACTTATAAATAATAAGAGCCAGTTATATTTGGTGTGGACTTAAAGAAGCATTCATTTGCAATGCCAATAAAATGGTGACGAGGTATGTAAAAGCATAAAACAAAGTATAACAGGTAGTGCAACTAATGTAGTACAGGGCTGCCTGGGGGTAGTTCTCATGAAGACCACTATATGGCAGCACAATGCAAAATAACAGTATCTAAGATAGGGGTCTCCAAACTTTCTAAACAAAGGGCCAGATTACTGTGTTTTAGACTTTAAGGGGGCTGGACCATAGTCAGAGGGAGTAAACAATGTCCCATCTTTGGAATTGGAGAAATACTACAACCCCATTGTTGCTGTCAGTGCAAGGAATAGTGCCCCATCATTGGTAACAGCGGGAGAAATAGGGCCCCATCGTTGGTGCCAGTTGAAAGAATAGTGCCCCATCATTTATGTCAGTGGGAGGAATAGTGCCCCATTGTTGGTATAAGTGAAAAGAATAGTGCCCCATCATTGGTGTCAGTGAGAGGAATAGTGCTCCATTGTTGGTGTCAGTAGGGGGAATAGTGCCTCATCATTGGTATCAGTAGATGGAATAGTGCTCCATCATTGGTGTCAGTGGGAGGAATAGTGCCCCAATGTTGGTGTCAGTAAGAGGAATAGTGCTCCATCATTAGTGTCAGTGGGAGGAATAGTGCCCCACCATTCAAAACAGTGGGAGGAATAGTGTCCCATCATTGGAAACAATGGGAGGAATAGTGCCCCATTGTTGGTGCCATTGGAGGGAATAGTGTATTATCATTGCTTTGAGTGGGAGGAAGAGTGGCTCATAGTTGGTGTCAGTGGGAGAAATAGTGCCCTATCATTGGTGTCAGTAGGAGGGATAGTGCCTCATCATTGGTATCATTGGAAGGAATAGTGCCTCATCATTGGTATCAGTGGAAGGAATAGTGCCCCATCATTGATGTCAGTGGAAGAAATAGTGCCCAATCATTGGTGTCAATGGGAGGAATAGTGCCTCAAGAGCCAGGTAAATGTATGCATTCTACCCACAGGCAGCAGTTTGGAGACCACTGATCAAAGAGCACAAGAACTCACAAAACATAAAAAAAGCACAGCACAGTCCAGTCAAGTACAATGATAGTTACTTGCATTTCCCTCGGGGAATAACACCTCCCTCACAAGGAGGCTGTTTGTACCTGGTGGCTCAGGTAGTTGACCATAGGTATGTTTGGACAAGATCAATGGGGAAAAGGCGAAAGGAGTCCTTGGATTGGAGTCTAGGTATCAGCAGAAGTTCTAGGCAGCTGTAAATGTAGTATTCCAGAGTCAGCTAGCACAATGCCCACCACAGTGATTGGGGCTCAGGATGAAGCTGCATACTCTTGCACTCTCATCTGGTAATCTGTATGCCAGGAACAATGAAGGAGGCCCTTTTAACATACCCAGTCACTGCTGTCCCATCAGGTGTGGTCTCTCTGTGCACCTGAGGGTTGGAAAGCAGTGGAATTTTTAATCCCCTAAGCATGGCCAAGTGTCTTACTGGAGCCCATTGGATTGTGGCTAAAAGAATTAAAGGGGCCTGCACCCACAGCTAACGCAAGGTGGGTAATGAAGGAATCCACTAAAGAACTGTAGTAGCTTCTTTCCATGAATGGAGGCTTTGCATTGGTTGGTTATTAAGGTGACTTTGACACATAAGCTCTTAACAGAAGTAAAATGCCTGCACCTAAAGGTGCCTGAACTTACCTACAGTAGTTGAAGTTGCTCCCTGTATGGCTGAATGCCAGCCAATTTGAACCACCAAAAATCCAGCTCATTGTTGGTGCTTGTCCAACCTAGTGAGGGGCCACTATGAATATGGGGGAGCAAAAGGTAGGGCATATTTATAGATAGATATGCCCACCTGAGAAATGGCACAGTGGAGTCTGGACTGGGAGAGGACAAAGCAGCACAAGGAACCATTTTGTTGTGTTGTAGTTCTCATGTGTTAACAAGAAGCATGTTGATGGGAGAGCAGAGTGATAGAGAGATGTGCTCTTCAGTCTGCT